AGCCAATTTCCGCCATACGGGGGCGGAACAAGAAAGGCACACCCAGGTATCGCGTTGTTCATGACTGGAGTTCATGAAACCATCCGCGCTTGGGGTTCGAGTTGATCATTCTTGTTCACCAAGAGATAGAATGGAACAGGCAAAGGGGCCATCGATGGACTCCGCTCCCTGAACCCCAGTTCATTTTGGCTACCTCAGGACCTGTTCCCGCTAGGGCATGCGACATTTTGAGAGTCGCTTGGGTTGTGCGTCCCTCAAATGGACCATAAACTGCGATTTTCAGCCACCCAGAGACCCTACTGGCCACCCGAACACGGCTACCGGCTCCAAAACACTCCACGGAAAAGGAAAACCAAGGGAAACCAATATTCTACCTTTGCGGTTTGAAAGTCTTTACTAAAGCAACACAACCCGCTAGCATACCCAACAAACAGGTGTACGGTCACAGTCAGATCGTTTGAGATTTCAACCAGGGAGCCTGACCTCGGCCATTGGGGCTGGTACCTGTTTGACCACTTAAGCCGAATGAAGCTTCACCGCTTGGAAGTCTTTGGGTGTCATTTGGTGGGGTCCCACTGGCAGGCGCACCACGCCCAGGACGAGAACGGAGGTGGTCACCCCGAAGCGCACGGAGAACGGCATCTCCGCCATAGGCCTCTGCTTCGATCGCAGTTGGGTGAAAGCACCTTCTTTCCAACATGGAGGTGGCTCTGGAAAGCAGTCTTCCAGAAGCCTCCTCTCAGCTTCCAGAGGAAGGGTAGGTGGTACAAATCCATGGGGCATTGTGCCACCACCTTTTCGATCAGGTGTAAGCCCACTCCAAGTGCTCAGCTCTTGTCACGACAGGCAATAGCCTTGAGTTTGGTCCATGTGAACTCTAACATGCACATAAAGTCACAACTAATTACTTAGTTGACCAACCCAAATTGAGGAATGCCTAGGTAGGGAACCCTCGTCACGGGTAAGTTCGTTTGACCCCATGTAACATCGCTGACGGGTGACTTAGTACCTGGCCACAAACCATCCTCTAGGGCCCATTCATGGTTACTCCACGAGAGCTTTTGAAAGCCCGGCGGTCATCTCAAATCACGTTGCAACCATGAATGACCACGCCCATATTTTGCAAATGGAGCATTGGCAATCCGCCTTTCCAGCATCTCTCGCGGGAAATGACTACAAAGAAAGCCTGATCGTTTCCCTCGACATGGTGGTTCAAAGGCAATCCCCCCAACAAGTGCCTTGATAAGCCCTCAAAGCAACCGGCTTGTGCCTCACCTACGCTTTTCTCCCCCCATTCGAAAAGGGCCAAAGGGCAGCGCCTGCAAACGCCCATCCCAAAACCCTACCCCTCAATCATCCAGGCCACCACCAGTCCTGGTCCCCTTTTTTTGGCAACAAGCGCCTGCGGAAAACTATCCCCCTGTTTGCGGCTTCTATCTAACGCTCCCTCGTCAAATGTGGGTTTGGAACTCGGAAGCCCCCTTACTCATCCAGCAAAAAGGGGATTCCGGCACGGCCTTTTCCCCTGCGCCATGAATCTCGGCACGGTCGGCACCCGAACGGAATCTCGCCGATAAACGCCGCAGTGGATCCCCCGAACTCCGCAGGAGCTGTGAATGGGTCACACACACACATGATTCCTGGCTTCAAAGCATGCGTAGACCAGGAATCCACAGCATGCTCAGGTGCTCCGGACTTGCATGCCACCAGCCGCACCACCAGAGTGCTTGCACCTCTCTCCGGCCCCCTTGCTATCGGCGAGCCGGCACGGAACCAGGGTACCAAACGGTGCCTTACCGCGGACCAAGAAAGCCTTGCCAATGAATACCGAATGCTGAGAGAAACCACCTGCAAGCTGTCGCAAAGTGGAGTTTGTCTACTGTATCCAAGAATACGTTGGACAAACATGGACAAACCCCAAGGGCATTGTGGTGCAGCGCGGTGTATGCACCAAGAACGTCGGTGCCGCAGGCGCTAAGGGACTTAAAATTGTCAAGTGCTTCAACTGTATCTTGTCGAAGGGTCCTGAAAACAACACGTGCAGGATTGAGATACCCAGAATACTTGTATGGCCTGAATGATTGGAATTGCATACTGTAGTACTTCAAGACCACAGTGTAGTCTTGTTTATACAGGTAAACCGTACTTGTTTACCCGCTTACATTAGCCCTTCCAGGTGCATGCGGCATGCAATCTGTCCGAATCTGGCCGGATCTAACCCACCTCTTCGGACCGCATGCTCTTTGTGTGAGCTGCCGAAGGTACGTAACTCCTGGATTGCGCTGGGCCTATGGCTGGCCTCACCAGGCGGGATTCTCTGAGAAGCATTCGGACTGCTTGCAAAGGGGTTTTATAAAGCACGCTGACAGTTTGTTCAGCCTTGTAAGGCCCAATTAGTCCTGTCCCTGTCCAAGCAGGGCAATGAATTAACGACAGCAAAAATATGTACCTCTGGCTGTGGGTCGTTACCTGCTGAAAGGAGCGAACTTGCTCTACTTGAAAGAAAGCCTGCCAACCCCTGATTAGCATGGAGGGTGCAATGGACCCTAAGCTGAGACTGCCAGCTGAAAAGCAGACCCTGATTGGTGGCTAAGAATTGGTAAATGCTAGGGCTGAGACAACGCCCCCCCAGCTTACGCCCTTGGCACATCGATCACGGCGACAACCACGTCAACGACAAAATTCAAACACTTTTCTTGCAGCCCGCAAGGGAGAAACAACAAACAACCAAGGGAGAACGGAACCAAGAAATTAAACGACTATCCACTGCCAGGAGAGCTGAAGAAATAGTGAACACATCTTCGGTCCTTATACTGTACTCGGGTCAGCCAGGCCGCGGATCCGTGCAGCATAACCTGCTTTCGCATAAGTTGACAAGCTGGCCCGTTTGGGGGCTTGTCATAGCTGGGACGCGAGATACCAAAAGCTTGCCTGAAGACGCCCAGCACATGCGGGAAGAAAACCAAAAGCAGACACACACATACACACACACACACACTCACGCACACACACACACAGAAAACGGCTCTAAATGCTGACTGATTGACATTGCCAAGGAAGGCTCCACAAGGCGCAGCCACTTATCCAGCAATAACCTCACTGTCTGTCCGTGGTCTGGACCAGTGCTCTCTTACAGGGACCTTGTGGATTCCGCATGATGAAGGGACATAAGATCCCTACTCAAACCTGCAGCGTGCTACAGTGGCAATGGATTGTGGATGTGTAGGGACAACTTGAGGCTGGAAAAACATGCACAGAACTTGACATAACGCAACGTATTGACAGATAAGCCTTAAACAACTATATGCTGCATGCAACGTCTGAGGCCTGCAAGGTCAACTGCCCTGAAGATGTCTGGCTCTTCAGAAGTCCGAGCCGCAGATCCATCTTGCTTGGTTGTGTCTGCCATGAAGGTTTGCAAACAAACCTATGGATTGAAAACCTTTTCCGGGGCCAACGGCAGCCTGCAGCAGTGATGATCGATCAAAGCACCCCTCTGCGGTTGCAAACTGTTCATGCGCAAAGGGTTCAGGTGCAGCAGGCTCTTGATACCTACTCCGGCTGCTGCAACCTGAAACAAATGCCAGGTTCCGGGCCATGTTTAGTGAACTTCCAACATGTATGTACATATCCACGAACAACAAAGCAGGGTGACCTATCAGGCCCATAACGCAACAACCCACCACAAAAGAAACTCATTGTTTAAATGGCCACTAAAGGTGATGCTTATAACTACCCAAAGGGACATTCAAGGACCCCCTAAAATCCCAGATAGAGTCCCACAAGCCCTGCCTAAAAACGATCCGCCCCTTGCAGCAACTTTCTCTGAACGGCTGGCAGGTTGAGTGCCATCTTGGCTAGGTGGCATGTCCAGTTTCCAAAAGCAGGTTCAAAACGTCTCACCGTTTGGGCTTTGGCTTCCCCAGATTTCCTCTCGAATGATTGGCACCTCGTCTTTGAGGCTCAGTGTTCAGTGAGTTTCGGTTCTGAGTGATGTTGCAAGGTTAAATGTAAACTGCACACGGGGCACCGTCTATTGGGACATCTTTTGCGCTGGCTTCAAGATTGCCTGTTGGAGTTGTTCCGCTTTGGTACATCCCAAGGACCTGAGTGGAGTGGCCAAAACGAGTCCGAGCTAGTTCTTTGCTTTTTTTCTGAAATGGTCTTCCCAAACAGTCAAATGCTCAGCCGCAGGAAGAGCCTGCCCTAAAAGCTCCAGGGGAAGTGTTGGGAGTTCGTGGCATCCGTTGGGTTCTCTGTGAAGCATCGCCCGTCTCTCGCGCCCGCGAGCTCTGCATTGGCATTAAAGCATCGCCCCGCAGGTCGGAACATTGGGAGTCGCACCTTTGAACCTGTCTTGTTTGACCACACAATGAACGCTGAAAACTGCCGCAACGAGCCAGCTACAAAGTGCGTGGAAGTGGTAAAGGGGGCCATTCCGGAGCCATCATCGCAGGTAAACCCAAGGCTCAAAGGGCGTCAAAGACCAAACGGGTGACAGCCCAAAAAGGCCTCTTTCTCGGGCTCCCCACATTTGCACCCTAAACATCACCCCACCAAGAGGAAGCTGACCCAGCAGAGAACCAAAAAACAGATAACTAGAATGTAGGGCGCTGCGTGTCATGGCTAGCCCCAGCAGCCTTGCTTGAAGGACTGGGTGGACCCAAGAAAATCCTCACCATTGGCTGCACCATGTTCATTTGATGGGCGCCCCACTCAGCAAATAGGTCGGCGTTGAACTGAGCAATCGACAAACTAAAAGCCATTCCGGTGAGGTGCTTTCGCTGCAGCTCAACGTGACACACGTCTCAAAATCCCGTCTGAACTGAAAGGCCCCACCTTCCTCAACCTGTTTTAGGGGGCCCAAAAAGCGTACAATGGAGATCAAACAGCAGGTTTGGTGTTGGAAAAAACGACCCTTCCAACTTTCCCTAGTAGAAATTTAAAGCGTCTCCTGGCCAGACCTCCCACCAGCGGGCCGACGGCCGATTCCGTGTGACTCACGTGGCTGCCTCAGAGGGCCGTCGATCAGAGGGTCGTCGCTCCTTCCTGCCTGCCAAGGTGGAGCTGGGCAGGTGAAAAGGGGGGGGGGGGAAGGGCGCAGCACTGCCGAACTATAACTTTCATTCGCCTAAGCCCCCTGTAAAAAACAAGAATCCAGTGATAGATTCCCTTTAAAACCAATAAGAAGGCAAAATAACAAACTGGAGTGCTCTTTTGGCATGGTCTCTTTCGGCCAAACTCACTCCGACAATCTGTTGGGTCCTGTTTCGAGAAACACAAGCAGGACAATGGGTTTAACACATTTCACCTGAAGAGACGGCTGGCTCCCGTCGGAAAGTTGGAGGACCCCTCAGACAACTCAACAAGGAAGCCCCAAGTGTGGCAGATTGTGGCAATACAACTGTCATAACTAACCTTTTTGGGTGACGAAACATGTGCCAAAAGAACTAAAAAAACAAACAAACAAACAAACAAACAACCAACCAACCCAACAAACAAACAAACAAAGACATTCGGCGGAAGGTGATCTTGAACCGGTCCTCATCATGGAAAGTTAAAGATGGATACGGGGGGGGGGGTGAGTTTCCCTTGAAGATTTTAAAACCAACCTAACAAAGGATGTCTTCAAGCAAGACGCCTTTCAACAAAATGAATCTCTCATCCTAATCCGCAACCCATAATTAGTGTCACTATGGGTTCATAGTGAGACACTCCTCATTCAAAGGAAGCCCACTACTATCTGGCATAAGGATGAAGGATTGATTCGAAACGAGCCTGATCAACCCTCGGTGTTAGTTTACAATGGGTCCTGGACAAATTGACAAAATTTGCAGCACTAAAACGGTCAATAGGCTAGACCTCCAAGGATCATCGAAGTCCGCAGCAATATGGCCCAGCCCACACTGAGTAGAAATCTGAAATTCGGAATATTTCGGAGGACCACACAAATCAGGGGGTGGTCTCTTTGCAGTGAAGAAAAAAGCAGTTTAGGAGGATGCCAGGATAAACACGGTCCGAATGTCGGAACTGTCCGCAGCTAGTGGCTGAACCCCATTCCGCCAGTTTTCCGCCTTGCGTGCCGTGCCCCAAACGGGCGATGCCGGCAAAGTTGGCGTCCAGCAAACGGCGCAGGAGGTGCAAAAACTCTGGGAAGTTCACCGAGTCCTGAGTCGAGAGGTTTGTACCCCTTTTACATATTTGGCAACCCTTTCTGATTTTTAGACGCATGAGTATCCTTTGGTTCAAGCTGTGTAGTGTCGCCTCATTCCCCTTGAGAAGATGACACCAAAAGGCTTTCTGCGATCCATACCATGTCGTCTTTTTGCAATATGTTCGCCCGCAAAGTGAGTTGGCAACCGGGGCAGCAAGGTTTATGAGCCGGAGGTTTGTGCTTCCACTCTCAAACTGCGATCTGTGGAAAAGCTACGTGGAAACCTGGCTGAATGGGCAAGTCTCTGAATGCGGACAGCCAAAAAATAGGCTGTTTTCTGAAGGATTGCTGCACATAGGTGTCCTCCTGAGGTCTGGAGTGAAAAAGGAGTCAAATGCAAACTTTGGACCTTTAGATCGGTTTTGTCTCAAAATACGGGAGCCTGCTTCTCCGATTGGTGGCTTTCCTTTTCCAAGGAGCTGCTTCTTGGGTCCCATTGAGCCCTTTCGATTGGCATTATTGTTTCGAATGGTGGGACCAAACAACGCAACGATGTTTGGGTTTGGGGACCGCGCTGAGCGTTTCTGGAAGCACAAACACGATAAGCTGTGGAGAACAACCCTTTCTGTGATGCCAGGGTGGGTCCTGTCCAATGACTGATTCGCTACTTTACGCAAAAGATTCCACGCGTATCGCAGAAGTGGACAGAGTCCTTGACAGAAGCAGATAAGAGAGTAGATCACAAGCACCCTGGTCTCCGCTTCAGCCGCATTTTCGACACGCGTGCGAAGGCCGCAGTTGTGCACATGTCTCGTTCTTTACAAGCGGCCAGCTATCGGATCTTGGGCGGGAAGCTCGGTCAGAGCACATCCGTCGCGGAATGGCCGCAGACACGCACTGCTACATTACCAATGATATTGTGCGTGCACTTCTTGAGGGAACCCCCTTTCAGGAGAATGCACAATAAGCCGGTGTTGTGGAGTATATGTTACTATGTGTTGAAATATCCCTGTACACACAGGCATGCACATACATACGGCTTATGTTGTTTGACTCATGTTTATATAACCATCGGCAGAAGGTCAAACATCCAAACTCAAACCTGGCCGGTTAAATCAATGGCCAAGGCCAATAGGCTCTCTTGGCAACCCACTGCAAAACCGGTGGGCCTCAGCCTGTGTCGTCACGGCAGCTCTTTCATCCTCGGATGGGCAACTCGCGGCTTGGGTGCTCAACATGGGCCGGAGGTACCGCAATCCGCAACTGCCGCTGTTTTCTGCAAGTCGGGGGCCTCGTTCCGAGCCGGCCCGCTTTCAAGGCGATGTTGGAACAAGGCAGAAAGAAACCTAAACGTGGGCCGTGGGCTAGCCAAATGTGGCGACGTGCCTACATGCCCCCACGAAACGCACAGCTTCTGGCGGGATACCAATAACTGGGTAATAAATAGGGGCTCTGGATAAATCTAACCATTCTCATTTTCCCACTACCCAGATAATGGGGGCAGCTGGGCACAGCTGACAGCCATCAGCCAACTTTTGTCCGTCGCATTCGATACTCTCCTCGTGGTCTCCATGCCATCCGGCCATCCGTGCCTCCATACATGGAGGACGCTTCTGGAAAACTGCGCCCTTGAGGCCGGGCCCTTGAGACTACTCAGCTACCCAGTGGCCCGAACAGTGGCAAAAGGGACCCCCCCTTTTGGGTGTTGACAATTCTTAGCGCGGAGCCCACCGAACAAAAAGCGAAACAACGGTGCCACTGAGTTGCTGGGACTGCCTGGCTCAACTGCACGGAGCGCAATGCAATGCCAGGCGTTGGAACAGAGAGGTCTACCCAATGGATTGACAAGCAAGGCCTAGGCATGCTTGCTCTGGGGGCTCTAGGAGCCCTAAAACTACCCCTTTAAAGATTAACAGAAGAAAGTCCACACTGTCGTCCTTCCTCCAAAGGGTCCTCTAAACTTGCTCGGGGGTGGGGGGGGTTCCTTCTGTTAATCTTCCGGAGGAAAAACTCAGACCTCCAGTGGCCATGGTTACAAAAACGGAACTTGATCTTGGGGGGGGGGGACTGAGTTGAAAAAGAAGCCCCCTCCAAACAAGAGACAGAAGGACACCACTGGAGGTCTGGGTGAAGCAGAAAAAGAACCACTCAGGCGCCTTCTTTCTCCCATTTCTCAGCCTCCTCCTCGGCTCTTTTAATGGCCTCCTTCAGGGCAGCGTATCCAACCAGGGAAAACGCTCGGTTGGGACTTGGTGCTTGGTGAAACCCACACCAATACAGTTTCATGTGTTTGTTTTGAGGGGGTCCCAATGTGGACATTCCGCCCGGGCACCAAAAAAGGGCCTTGAACAGGGGAAGTGTCCTTAGGTTTGCTAGATTTCAGCCTGCCTTTTGGAAGAAAAACACCTAGGTGCGCTGTGCCCCCCTCCCACTTCCATATGTCACTTTGCGCTACACGAAGTGCTGTCACCAAGCTGTTTTCAACGAATCCCAGGAGGGCCTACACTCGGACCTCTGAGCTCACTAGAATTCGTGCATAGCAGCCAAGACACGATCCAAGGTGTCACTACCACCACAGCGGACTGCAACCCATAAGGGAAACCCCAAAAGTAATCTTGAATCATAGCGGATGCACAACCCCATCATATTGGGCCATCCTCAAGCCAAGTGGCGGAGGCTATATTGGGGCTATATTGGTATATCCCTTTCCTAGCCCAACACAAACACTCAGACCCGGCCTTCGCTCATGTGTTCGTGACTGGTTCCGGCGTTGCAGATGCACAAACAGACACTCCCGTGTCTGCGCTAATCTGCATCTGATTGGCTCTGAATACCTCTGACAAGCTCTGGCATCTGTGCTTGTCCGGATCTGACAGGCTCTGATGGGCAAACAAACTGTCAGATTCTGTGACGCATCTAGTCAATCTCAAGAACATGAGTTTGGCGGAGACCCCAGTCTTAGGCCATCCCCTGCGTTTTGGCTGTCCGCCGCTCCTCTTGCCGGTCGACCATTTCCTGCGGGCTGGCCCCGGACCGCCAGCCCGGCTCCGCCTCCTCGCTCAGATCCTCTTGCTTCTTGAAATCCTGGAGGATCTTGCCAAACCTGAAGTCATGCGCAGCACCCTAAATAAAAACCTGTAACCAGCCTCCAACTTGAAACTGTGAAAATTGCGAAACTGAGAAACATAGGACTCCCTCCCTCCAAACCCAACCAAACCCCGGCAAAAACACAGCAACCACACATTTTCACCCGGGCGCCTGGCACCGAGCTGACCTAGACAAGACAAGCTGGTAGCTTTTTCTAACTGACTCAAGTATAGTTACTGCTTTGAATCAGAATTTGGATGGGTTCCTTTGCAAATCCCTAGGGTTTTAAACGGGTTCTAACTATAATCTGGTAAGGAAAGACAGGCTGGCTGGTTCTTCTAGCTCGTTTGAGTAGAACTCGGTTGCGGTTTTGCAGGTGACATGCCCAGGCCGGGATGGCAACTGTTTCCTTCTTGCGGGTATTTGTTTCTTCTTGCTGACCCCAACCAAAAAAAAAGAAAGAACGAGAAACCCACCAAACAAAATAAGTCAAAACTGATGGCTGAGTAAGGGTCTGACATGTATTTCTTTGTATTTTTTGTTTGCCCGAGTGTTCTCACTCTTTCATGAAAAGTACAGAACTCTTCGAGATGTTGTTTCTTTCTTTTTTTTGTTAAAAAAAGGAGAACAAAAACATGCCCCAACAGATGCAGCAGTCCATGGCCCCCCGCCATTGGCCCATGAGGTGCCGTTCTGTATCCAATACACTCGCAACAGAAAAAAGTACTCGCTGCACTCGCTCCACGTGCACTTATACCAACAATTCATATACTGGGACTTCCCGTACAATTGAATCCATCAGACATCAGGTTCTTGCCTGAAACGGATATTGCTACCGCGGTGGATATCTTCTCCTTTGGGATCAGTTGCCCCCGGTACGGGACTCCCGGGGGGGTGGCGGGGTCCATTATTGACAGACCTCTGATGAGCTTTCACTGGCCCCACGACCGTGCCATTATCATGTTGCCACCTAAGTGGAGGGAATGAGGGAAACCACCTTCTTTGCTGACTTTGGTATTCCTTTGCTAACCTTAAAAAAACCAGTCAAACCCAGTTTTCAGCCAGGCTGCTTCTTGTAGGGCGCGATGTCGTTAATCTGCTCATACGAATCTAGCCGAGCGATGATCTGATTGGAGGACGGCTTGTACTCGCTGTCGAAGATCTTGATCAGATTGTAATCCTGGGCCAGGCTTCTTTGGGCCACACTAAAAGAGGATGGCACAATTCGGATGGGGATACCCAAGCAAAAAAGGGACGATTGTGCCATCTACTTTTAGTCAGGTGCAGACAGTGTAGACCTCCGGAAAACGAAATGAAGAACAAAACGAAAAGGCAACACGTTAAAACGTCAGTTAAGTCCGGCAATGAATCCAAGTCTTCGATGTAGATCTCCCAGTTGTAGGGATATGCGCGGAATGTGGTCATCTGCCATGACTGGTAAGGAGCCTTGTCATAATAGTAGGACTGCTCACCTCACGTGCGCGGAAACAAGAGGCGTACTGTGGATCAAACCTTTGAAATCCAAATGGCTCGGGCAGTCTGATCCACTATCCCAGAAAAAAAGCACACCTAACCCGTAGCCGGAGGGGAGGCTTAAACAGATTCTTCAAACTATGTTATGATTGTAAAATGAATCCTGAACTGCTTCATGTGAAAAAGCACGCAGGGCAGGCAACAGGTGGGTCTTTCAACTGAGCCACTAAAGGTGGCGCTAATCTCCTTGCCCATGTTGGTGTAGTCGCTCCAGTCCTTGGCCACCCGATTGCCGACATTCGGAAGAAAGTAGATGGCACGATTCCCCCTGCATGCGTTGACTTAGTCATCACTCGCCCAAACAAAGGGACGTCCGCCATCTCCTGTCAAGCTCTCCCATCATGAAGGTCCCTTAATTTGGGGTTTTGTTTTATTTTTAATAGAGTTGTGAATT